CTGTGTGGCGGTGAGACGGAGAGTTTGCCGATGAAAATGTCTGCAGGATTCTGCCACTCCCACCTGATCAACCGGTACCTGCACAACAGCAGGCCTACCAACCATACGCCTGCACACAAAGTACAAAAACTCAGCAATGGAATTATCAAACTCGCCCAAACTCCCGCAGACCGCAGATGGATGCATTATAAAGAAAAAACAGAGATATTGTGCCTACCTGACGCGGTATAAGGCGAGAATCTTGGGTTAAATTCAGGTCATTTTGGCCCCTCCGATCGTGGTGATGTCATTTCAGAACTCACCTGCAGGTGCGCATGCGCTCTACTGCTCAGCCTCGGTCTGGTACCGATCTTCACTTCCGGGATTGGGAAGGTCAGAAGCGAAGCGTGGGAGGGAACGAGGGAGGAGGGCGTCCAGGAAATATTTCTGCAGGTAAAGACAGTTATAAAAGACGTATGTCGTGAGGTTGGTGTTTTATATTTTATCATGTTTGCACAGGTCCACTTCTGCTGCACTTCCACACGTCTGTGCACTGAAAACGTCACCATACTTTCCCAAATCATGTCATTATGCCATATAATGTGATCAGGTTCAGAGTGGATGCCTAAGCTCCATTGAATCTGATCACAATTTATTTGGCATACTGATATGATTTGCGTTTGCGGAAAGTATGGTGACGTCTTCACATTATATGGCATGCCTATTATCTCGGGTAGGCGGCATGGTAATAACTTGTAACTGTAACTGTACGCACAAAAATGTATAAATTGTAGGTGTTATGCAGTTATTTTTGTTATTTTTTGATTGGAAGGTCTAGTTAACGTTAACGTACTAAGGCCAAGTGCGAGGTGTTTGGTACCATCTGATGAAAAGCCTTCATCTCCAAGCAGACGTAAAGGGGGCTTGTCTAGCTGCTGTTTCATTTGAAGTTCGAAGGTTGCAGCAGCCAGCAACTCCCCAGTTTACCACGCAAACTGTAAATGCAGAGGCTATTGTATTGACAGGATGTTCCTGTGATTAGCAAACACCTAGCAATAAATAACACTAATCCTGACATGCAAAAAATAATACTCCGGGCTTATTCCTGAGCAAGAATAATTAACTGTTGAAAATTATATTAATATTGCACTTCCTGTCAACATTAAACTTGCACTGTTGACAGGATATGACAGGATTGACATTTGGACACCAACTGTATTAAATAGGTCTTAATCCTGAACATACAATGCTTATAATGCCATGTTATTCTCTTCTAGCTCACCAGATGGCACTGGTAAGAGGTTTGGCAGGTCTTCAACAGCAGCTGCAGCATGTGATCTCCATACAAAACACCTGCTGTTCAAGAATGTTCAGGTTTGTCATGCTTCCAAGTTCTCTTCAGTTCAAATTCCTTCCATTCTTGCTAATCCTACTAACAAGTAAGAGTTCCCTGTTCCCTGCCAAATTGATCTCCATGGAGGGGCATATTGCTGGTTCATTGAAGTCCCATGTTCATGTATGAATTCCCCTGTCCGCAGCACCACAGATCCGGCAGCAGCCATCTACAGGATGACTAGACTGCGGGTTGTGGATAACAGCAGTCTGGGGGAGGAGTCAGTCCGGCGAGGCAAGCCGCCGCGCGTCATCCACGTCTACAAGAAAAACAGCATCGGCAAGGTGGGAGACAAAGTTCTGGTGGCCATCATGGGACAGAAGAAAAAGGCCCTCATAGTCGGACACAAAATGGAGGGACCTCGCATGACTCCCAAGTTTGACTCAAACAACATCATCCTGCTGGAGGATTCTGGGAACCCCACCGGCACCAGGATTAAAGTTCCCGTCCCCTCCCTGCTCAGAAAAAAAGCTGCTGACCAATCTAAGGTTCTAGCCATTGCCTCCAGGTTCATCTGAAGGTTTCCGTGACTGCAGAAACATTAACCAGCATCATTCAGTATTTGTTGACTGTGTTGAAGTAAGTTCTGGACTGAGGTAATGCTGGTTAACTGGTTGAAATGTCAAATCCTTCCATCCAAGAGATACTGTAAAATTTTTGGATGTTACTGACTGTAGTTAACTAATGGCTAATATGAGGAAAAATTTGGAAACATTTCCAATAAATGATTAGTTTTCAGAAAAAAAAAGGTTCCACAGATAAAATAGATATTTTGACATCACAGACCTTCTGTCCTTTTTGTGCATTGTTACCAGGAGGTAAGGTTCCCAGATTAATGTGACTAGAGTTCAGAGGGGAGGCAGCAATTACATGTACTAGTATATGAATAATGAACAAGTTCCCAGAGAGTAACCTGGGTGCCATCCTCGTCTCTCTTGTCACTGGCTACCACTGGCAATAACTAAGGAGATTGGCACCTAAGCTAGAGATTGAACTCAACTCCAACTTCTTACCGGCAGTGGTCAAAATACTTTTTTTCAGTGCTCTGCAATATTGCAGAAGAGTCAAAATTTTGTTCTGCAATTTGAAAATACTTTCTGCAAATACACAAGCCTCCATACTACAACCTTCTCAAACCATTAATGTCTTTTGAACATCATATATAGCTTTCTATATCTGTAGCATTACTGGAATTCTTTAGACATGTTAGAGTTTAATCTATCACTCTTTTTAATTTCATCAGTGACACTAAGAGAATGCAGGAGAATTGCAGGTTTATAACCACCAACTATTGATTGATATGCTAATTAGTGAAGACAAAATTTTTGGAAGTCAAATAGGAAACAAAAGATCAGACAAAAAGTCAAGACAAGGATGATGCAAATTAGTGAAGAAGCTCCTGTGTTGCCTGTCCTTGGGACCAGGAGCGGCAAATCCCAAGTGCCTGGATTTTTCCTTCAGCAAAATTGCAGATTGTATAAATTTTTCTTCTGCAATCTTGAAAATCTATCTGCAGATTGCAGACTGCAGACAGGTATTTCGAACACTGTACCGGTATATTGTTGCTTAACAATACAGACTTAACAATACAGTATCCACAAATTAAAGAAGACATGTCATAAATTACCCCAATTTAATTCGTTTGCAACAATACAGGTAATATTGCATCAATGTGCTGGTCTACTCTTGGAACAAAGAGTATATCTACATCGTAGTTTCCTTTTTACAGTATATAATAAGTGTCTAACAGATACCAGTTGGTCTGCTTGTCAAGGAAATCAGCCTCAACACATGCTGGAGGAGGAAGATTATGCAATTTTCTCTTTACAACCAAGGTTTTTCTTGGCATCATCATGCTTCATCTATAGTCTGGGTGCCTGGCTAGTCAGGCTACATAATTTTTCACCTCACTTGTAGCCAAGGTGCAAGGCTGCTCAGGCTACTTCATTTGCACCTACCCTGTAGCCTAGGTGCAAGGATGCTCAGGGTATTGCCAACTGCAATAGCTTTCCACCAACCAACCATCCAATCAGATATTGCCTTAGAAATCACATTGCAGACCAAGTAGCAAAACAGAGAAGCTACAATCCGTCTACAGACACTGCTTCGATTTTCAGTGACCTACCCTATGTTTGACATAGATGTACATCTATACAACAACAGAACTGCAACAAACTAGAAGGCAGGCTAAAATCAAAAGCACCGAGACTTTCTTACCAAAGCTGCTTCTGACTTCTTTCAGCACTTTTGGCTTCGTAGTACGTGAAATCTTCAGAATACATGTCCCAGGACTATGCAATGTTTTAGTTAGTACCATGATTGCTGTCAATACTTGACACTGATCAGAACAGTTGCACAACAAAAAGTAAATTAACTAACTACCACATTGTAACTTTGGTATGTGTCATCAAGCTGATTAAAGTGTTACTACAGTTGCACTAGCTTGTAAAGTATCACAGATCCATGGTTATATGCCTTGTAGCAGATGTACTGTAGGCATACTGTAAGTTTCAGAATAAAAATTCCCGGCAAGTTGGTATAGATTTAATCTAAGCTCATGTTACTAACATTCAAATCCCTGTCATGCACTCTGCCCTCCTGAGATCCTAGTGTTTCTGTACTCGCTTCAGTTTCCTCAGGTTCTGAGTCTTCCTTGTCAGGTATTTTCTGTGCATGGTCCCTGTGTGCCTCCTGTATAGGTGCGCTGTAGGACCTCTGCAGCAGTGCTGCCTTGTTGTGCGGCCCGGCAGCGAGCGGCCGGCTGCTGGCACTGCTGCTCCGGGTGAAGCTAACTCCTCGGCTCAGGTTGATTCGGTTCTGAGCCTGGTTGTAGGTCATCTCCTGACCGGGGGCATCTGCCTGTGAGACTGTTGGTGCTATCTGTTCCACCCGGAGGTGTGGGGTTGTGCCATCTGTGATCACACCACGTTGCTGTTCCACCCGGACATGTGGCGCTGGCCCGTCAGCAATCACAGCACGCTGTTGTTCCCTCATCATGTCAATAATCTGCAAAACCTGAACAAGGTTTATTCATTTACTTGTTGTACATACAACATGTACTTTGTTTTGTAATATGTAATATGTTCTTAATGTGGGGCAGGGTACCGGTATCATCTATTTAGGTGGTACAACTGCCTTTGGGCATAACACACAAGCTCAACAGTGTTGGCACATGTGTTGTTGCAATCCAAATAAAGTCACAAAGAAAGAATCTCTGAATGAAAGCTCATCTGTGTTGGTAGAATACATAGTTAAAGAGTTTGACTTGTTCCAACACAATAAGGAGAACTCACCATAAATTTTCGGCTGATCCCGTCAACCTTCGTCAGATTTGTGATGCAATCGCTGACTTTCCGGAAGTCGGAAACGTGATGACGTCAGGAGATACCGTCTTCCCGCCACTTTTGATGCACTCCTGACGTCATCACGTTTCCGACTTCCGGAAAGTCAGCGATTGCATCACAAATCTGACGAAGGTTGACGGGATCAGCCGAAAATTTATGGTGAGTTCTCCTTATTGTGTTGGAACAAGTCAAACTCTTTAACTAAGAAAGAATCTCATTAGTCACCTGTTCAAACTTGGCCCCTACAACCCAATGCCTTCCATCCTTTTCTCTCATGCAGGTTTGTGTCTCCAGTGTATGGTGTTGATAGCATGAGGTTACAGGTTACCTAACCCTTACCCCTAACCTATGTCCCCATGTACCTGCTGGCGCGTGTCCTCCATGCAGGTTTGCGTCTCCAGCGGGAGGGTGATGGTGTTGACGGTGCGAGGCTGGAGGCTGAAGATGAAGGGGATGTTGATGCTGTACCCGGCCAGCATGATCATCAGCAGAAGCGACATCAGCATCACAGCCAGGAAGGCGAAGGGCCACAGCTGCGGGGGGAGGTCGTGGAAAACTCCCTCAAAAAACTTGCTGAAGGAACGACCAATGTGCTCCATGGGCTCCAGGAAGAACTTGGTAAGTGTCACGGCAAAGGCCTGGAGAGAGCAAGATAGTCAGATAAACAACCAGCCAACAACAGTAGTCCTGCATGCTGGCATGTTATTCCAAGAGTTACAACAATGTACTACTGAAGAACGCAGGTGGAGTAACAATTAACCAGAATAAATTTATGAGAACAGATTGTACAATCCAGATTCAATCAGCTCATACAGTTTGTTTACCAGGCTCCAAACACACTGATTTTGTGTGTTTATAGCTTAGACCTACCTTTGTTGGTGTCACCTCCCAGAAAGCATCCACCACCAGGGCTTCATGGTACTTGGCACACTTGTCTTCCTGAAGTGTGAAGGTTGAGACTGCCCACTCTAGGTAAAGCAGAGGCAATGTGAGTTCAAATGTGGACAGGGATATATATGTATAAGAAAATGCCATTAGCTATTTTGATGGGTACAGTTATGTAATGGGGAATAATTCTTTAGATCCCATCAAAAGGATTGTGATCATTTCAGATTGATAGCAAGTCAGATCAATGAATTTGAACTCTTGACCTGTTACTTATTTCTGAACTATTCACACTACTGGCATGTGTGGGGGCCACCATGGACCACAAAAACAGCATGCCAGCAGGAATAAACAAGACTACAGGATTGATGGCAAGCTGGTGACTTGTATCGCTCTCATGACGTTGAACGTATTGTAAGATCTTACCATACATTCCCTGAAATGCTGTTCTTTCAGCTGTTCTGCACTCCCGAGGCATCTCCTTGGAAATTTCACGCTGTTTCTTAGCAATAGCTCTCTGAGGAAAGCCAAAGATTACCTAGTAGTTTGGATCAACTTGGATTCTTCAACCACACTCCAAAAATCATAATCTATCCACAGATTCTTCAAGAATAGCGTCAACAAATCAATCGAAAACACCGAAAACATGGTGGAGATTACAACAACATGTAAGGAGTCCATTTAGCTCAAACAGTGGCTACTCTTCTTGAGGTGCAGTAAAGAAGGGGAAAGGGATGTAAGATTCAGCCTCACAGTCTAATACTGACCTTATATTCATGCATCCAGGTCCAGCCGACACTGATAAGGAAGCCGAGAAGGAACAGCCTGAGGAACTGTTTCCTCCAGGACACGTGGCTCCAGATCTCTAGCGACACCAGGCACAGGACCAGCAACACTGCTATAATGGCCTGTCAACACAAAGACGAACTGTTACCTACAACACAATAATCAGTCATGTGGAGTCTCCAGCAACACAAGCATGGTAATAATGGCCTGTTTGAAGACATACATTCCCATCTATACACATAACAGTAGTCATATATTTGCCCCAAAGTGTAAAATATTGGATTGGCAACATGTCCATTATCATTTGTTTGAAGAAAGTTTGACCATGATTCCATCAATACATTATCATATGTTTATATTTTACATAATTATCATCTGAAGTTATTGGTTGATGCGATTTCAGTAAGTCACCTGCAGCAAGATCTGGAGCTCCAGTCCAGTGTAGTCTTCAAGTCTTTTCTGCCACCTGTTCACCTTAGGTTGTGAGCTGGACACACCTGGAAATAGGAAACAAATATAGGCCAAACAACCATTTTATGGATGACATCCTTTTTGAGGCTTCACCTCTGTGAATGTGAAAATATCTGTCTATGTTCTTAGATTAGTTAGAGAAAAATGGCAACCTAGTCTTAAATCAGCCAAATTCAGGCTGGACCTTCTATGACACACATCACAAAGATAAACCTACCAAGAAATTGACATACATGTATGTTCAACACAATTACCATCATTAATCATGATTTATGTCAACATCAAAGCTATAGTCTAGTAGCGTGTTGGGAGAGAGATCACCTGTTATAAGTGTCTCAAAGACTTGCATGGTGTCTTGCAGGCTGCCTTGGCCCTTGCTGAACTTCTTCAACAGAAGCCAGTTGCCAGCAGTCACTGTCATGTGTACATCATAGTCAACCGACTCTATCTCATGCATGTCACCTGTAGGCTGTAAAACATGACAAGAATAGATCCTTTACAGCTTGTACATGTCCCATACATGTATGGAAACACTGGAAATGACATAGAAAACACTATCCCTGCAGACACCTATCAATAGTTATTCACCAGATGTCCCACATGAGAATCCTGCATGTGTGTAGGTTATGCCTCAGATGTGTAGGAAGTTTAAAACTCTGTCTTGCTTTGGGTTTTTTGACCTCAGTTATCCTGAAGAAGACTGGAGAAATGGTCGAAAGTTTGATGAGTCTAGTCTTTTCTGTTGAAATGAAGTAAAATCTCTTTCCATCACATCCTGACACCCCATACAGACCATCTTACCTCCTTCACATCTCCCAGCTGTTTCAGAAGCCCACGAACAAACCTCCTGACATATGGAGCCTCTGGGCTGCCTTTCTCCTGTTTAGGGCTCTGCTGATCTGACTGGCAGGTTTGCTCTGCTGTCTGCAGCCGCACCTGGCACATCTGCAGCTGGTTCTGTAGCTGCTGCTGTACTTTCAGCTGTGCATCACATGCTTCAGGTGCTCCCAATGACTCCTGCTTCTCTGATGAACATGGCTGAAGTGACAAACCAAGACATGAGACATGTTAGACTAGTTTGAACTATACCCATGTTAACTGAGAGTAGTTGTTAACATGAGTCGATGATGTCTCCTCCTGGACATTATGACAGCCTGAATCAGTTTAGTTCTAACCTGACTGATGGTCAACTCAACAAGTCTGTACTTGGTGTCGTACAGCTGCACATTAAGCCTGCATAGGGATCTGGATTAGCCAGACCAAAGCGGAGTAACCCTTACTCTTTCCCAGATTTATTCATTAATAATTATTTCATCATATATAAAGCGGCAGGGTAGCCCATTCAGCTTGTAGGAGCTGATTTGTACAGGGGCCCAGCATACATTTGCACAAGATCTACATTTAATCAAGCAACAATATGTAGACAAGATCTCCAACACTCTTTGCAACAAGTGTGTCAGTTCTAAATAGGCACCTGTTCATTCTCACCTGGGTCAAGGTGTTTAGAATTACATTGTACTACTACTTGTTCTCTTGATCCATAGAGAAAGGACCATATCAATACATCCTGCATGGGGCCCTCTTCAACTAAGATGTGACAAGTGTAAGTGGATAACTTGACATATGAATCTGCATAGAAAAATTATACTCTCAGTACCTCCAAATTTGAAGTGTAACGTTATACCTTGGTTATACTGAAGGACGGTCATGTCAGTCTAGCTGACATTAATACGGATACAGACATCAGTGCTGCCATCCTTCACAACCACCTGATCATCCCATGCTTCCTAATTTATCTCCGTGTGACAGTTTCCCTAAACCGCACAAGCTGGACATGTAGGCGGGGCACTGCGGGACAGGTCACGGGGAGCTGGTACCCTTCCTACGCTTCACATCAGGCCTGAGCGGAAATCATTCATTCCCCCTGTATAGCCAGACTTGCTTTATAATGAAATTATATCCATTTAAATTTGGGACAACGGATCGTAAACACGACTATCTCCCGTGCTACTGACCTGGTCACGTTGGTTCTTCATGGTGCCCGTGTCCGTGTCGTAATTCAGCATGTCCCCCAGGATCTACCCAGTTCTCCACGTCCGGCAAGTGAAAGTCTGGGTCCTGGCAACGTCCATGACAGAGGACGACGGCCCAAATCACCGTCTGTGCGAAAAAACGGAGCATTTTCCTCATGCAGCAGAGAGAATTATAATACTTGTAACGCTGACACTTCCAGATGCAGAGCTGACTTCCGGAAATGACCTGGATTGTTCCAATAGGATACCTTCTTGGGGGGGTGCTTTCTACATCGCTTTAATTTCGTTACACTATCGGACATGATTGAAACACATTCATCACATGGTTCTCTACAAAGAGGATCTATTAATGTATTAAAAATGTGTTGATCGTCAAGTTACGTGGAAACAAAGCCACGGAAACGATTAAATGCCTGGACATACAAGCTGGAGGTCCTTGTCGGACGGGTTTACTCGAGCTCGAGCGCAAATTGGTTGGGTTATTGGTTCACTTCATACGAAAGGTGACAAAATGGTGAGAAGAGTATTACAGGCCCGTTTATAAAAGAGTAGAGGGAATGCTTTCACATGGTAGGAACTGCTTGGGGCGCTTTCCATTTACTAGTATGACGTGTAATGTGAGGCTACAAATCAAATTGGTCGGCAGGTGGCGCAGTTGAACTTGGTAGCTCACTCAGTCATCGTCAGCTAACGTTTATGTACACTCGTCAGGGCAGCCAGGTGGATATTAAAAGGCAGCTCACTCACTCATGTAACATGTAACGTTATAGCCTGAGATATCACATCGCGTTTCGTACACTCTTCAGGGCAGCCAGGTGGGTGAAATCTGATGATAACTAATAATACATACCTTTGTCAGAAGGTTTAATATCATATGGTTTTGACATTGCTTATGTGTGGTTGTGTATGTAACGTTAACTGTTAACGTTTATTCCTGTGTCTGTGCATCTGTATGTGGTTCAGCTTGATAAGTCAAGCTTTGAGTGGATTGTCATGCACTAGTTTGGGGGTCTTCAGAGGATGTCATCCATAAAATTAAGTCTGCATGGCCTTACTTTCACTGATCAATAGACAAGAGCTTGCCGATGCGTTAACTAAGGGTTAATGACCCACTCCGAGGTGAATATGGTGTGATAAAGCGGGTTGGTGGAAAAAGGAGTCCAGTCCGGTTGGCAGAAAAAGCAGTCCAGTCCAATTTGGGGGGTGGAAAAAAGCAGTCTGATGGTTTTTGTGTGTAGTAGCGCCCCCTTGCAAAATACGATATAAGTACAAGCAGTCTGGTGTGTTACCGCATGTCATGGTGTCAAACGCACTCATTGAATACATCTATGCAAATGTCGACAACTGCTTGCGATACTTATGTAAGTAATAAGAGGCGGAGCGTTAGCTAATTAGGGGTGTGTGGTGGGGTTTTGCGTTTGATGCGGATCGTGAGTGGAGCGATACTCAAGACTGCGCGGCTGCGACTATATGCAATAGTATATATTATGCAATTGGGTTAAATACGGTACATTGGGTGTCATTATTTTCTGCATTGAAATTCTACAATGAAAAACGGAAAAGTTATATAAAATTACAAGCAAGGTTATGTCCTCCAGCAGCTGGGGTAGTCAGTTCAGTTCAGGTCCTCTTCGTGAAACGAGATTACAATTAGCTGCTGCTCAGCCTCTCATTATTACGTAAATATCACAGGCAGTTGTCAGTATTTGCATAGCTGTATCCAATGAGTGCGCTAGTATACCTCAAGTATGAAATTCCAGGCAGTTAACATCATGGAATTAGAACATTTTCTCATTAATTAGAACATTTAGTATGCAAATTAAGTCTTCACAGAATCAATTTCTTCCTGTGTTTCTCTCATTCTTAATTACATATGTCACAAGCTTGAATAGTCCTATCATGGAATACAGCTGATTTGTAGAATTTCCTCAAAAACTATGCAAATTACATCCATATTTGCATAATTGTCACATAATTATGTCAAGCATCACTAAAGCTACCTACGTACCAAAAATCATGATGATCCGTATCCTCTTTTGAACATTAATGCCACTGCAGTTCTGGAGCAAGCAGTTAGGGGGCCCAAACTCATGCAATTTCTGCCCCAGCGCAAATTTCGTTATGAATAAACAAATTCTGATGCACATGGCTTATTTCATTAACATTAGATTTTATAGCAAACTGATGGCATCTATAGAGGTGAACCCTCCAACTGGCCTGATGTCTGAAAAGGTGGACATCCAAATCACTGGACTGGAAAAGCAGCAGCTGGTTACACTCACTGCTACGGTACAATATTCCAGGTATGACTGCAGTCACTATTCTAGGTATTAGGCAATGCGTGATGGGTTCTATAACATTGCTAGAGGTGTAGCTCTTTCCAAACACATCCCATTGGAGAACTGCAATGAGATTCAAATTCTTGGCTGTGTCAGTGTGTGGTTCATAAACTTACATGGCATCCAACATTGTGATTAAGCTTGGTGCATTCTGATACATAACATAGATAGCTGTTACATGTATTTTCTATATGGTAGAGAAGGAACTGCATAACAATTTTATTATTATAATTTTATATATCATTTTTTATATATATTATTATATAATTATCACAAAGTATTATACAATGAAGGTAATAACAAATCTTTGTATTCCTGAGGAATGCACAGTTCCAATCCCATGCCCACTACATAGCAGACAGTTCAGGAAGCGTGGTGTGTAGCAGACAGGAGGCAGTTGGAGGGACGTTCTCAGGTCCGATTCTGTATTCCCTCATTAGCATTTGAAGAGTTCAGTTTATGACAATCTGTTTTGGTGACGTTTTCTAATGTTTTACCCTTTAAACCCCCAAAAATCTACTTGTAACTCTAATTACTGATTTAAACAGAGTGGTATCAGTAAATCATTATGGCTGTATTAACTGATATGGCAGTTACATTACATCATTATACTTTTACAATGTACAAGTGACCTGACATTTTCACTCAAAGAAAATTAACACTTGGGAGATGAACATGAGCAACAAAGTAGCATTTTCAATCCATTGTGTTGACACCTGAGTCTGTGTTGCCCAGGGGTGGAGCAGATGGGCCTGTTGTGGAGCGTGCAGCCTCTGCCAGGTCAGCAGGTGAAACGCATGATTCCCAAGGACGTCACCAAACCACTGGACGTGCAACTGTATGTGTACGATGGACACATCAACACTTCAAGTCAACAAGACAGGGGGACAGAGACTAGAGCCTGCTGTGTGGTGGAGAGGAGGTTTATGAAAGATGGCGCCAGGAGGATTGTTGTGCGGCAGGGCCGAGTGAGAGGTGTTCTGTTCCTCCCTGAAGGTCACTTACATCTCTACTCTGACAATGCTCATGTTTTGTTGTCAAGTTGGGATGAATGCAACTTTATTTTCTAAACTCAGTTGACCTTCAATATAATAGGCTTTCTTGGGAGAATTTGTAAGTGTTTGGGATAGCTCAAGACATTGTCCAACATTTGTCATAATTCATGGGTTGGAGCTTGATTAAATTTTTCAACTAATCTGGTTGATTTTTTGTTGGTTTTTATCTTCCAGGGGAAGGTCCTTTCCCTGGTGTGGTTGACATGTACGGCAGTGGTGCTAACTTTGAGCACCGTTCTGCCTTGCTGTGCTCTCAGGGCTTCGCTGCTTTCAGACTCATGTACTGTAACTTTGACGACCTGCCCAAAGCAGAAACCCACCTTGATTCTGAGTATTTTACTGTAAGACACATCTTGATACCTGTACTCCCATTGCACTGCTTAAACATCGAACCATGCTGTAGCTGGCCTGGCTTAGATTTGTACACTGTAGACAGGACATACAGTATTATGTAATAAAAAAAAAAACTACCCTTCTCTAATAACATCCCAAAACCCACACATTACAGAAAACTTCAAAAGTGTGATTCTTTGTCTGCCTGTATCTGAAAATAAGGAAAACCAGTAGCTTAAGGGGTTGTTGGAAAAAGGAGTCCAGTCCTATTGGCGGAAAAAGCAGTCCAGTCCGATTTTGGGATGGAAAAAGCAGTCCGGTGGTTTCTACGAAATTCTACGAAAGACCATAGGCACAGTTTTTTCTTTTGTTGTGTACTTCTAGTTTCTATGGGTACGTTCGAGTGTCTATGAGTACTTCGGGTCACTATGAGTACTTAGAGTTTCTATGGGTACTTAGAGTTTCTATGAGTACTTTAATAGGGTTTGTATGGGAACTTAGAGTTTCTATGAGTACTTAGAGTTTGTATGGGAACTTACAGTTTGTAACAGCCTCCGGATTATTACTTACAAATAAGTAATAATAATTAGTCAAAAGATGAAGCGGTCAACTGACGAGATTTCCAGTGCCAATCCTGCTTGCATGTAAATAGCCTGAATAAATCGCTTTACGGTTGCCGGCCGCCCAACATCCAGATGGCCCCTGCTAAAGCCGCGTATGGCTGACTTTGCATTACACCGACAAGCATGTAAGTACCGGAAGTACAATTGTAAGAAAGAATCCCTTAATAATTAACTTTTGTTTATTGTGGATAGGTGACCTGTATGTATAGAAACTACTTTTCGGTGGTCCCAAGAGGTATAAATCGGTTGTCTGCTATTCCTCACCCAAGGCTGCCTGAATTACGGGTTAAGGAGGCATATAGTGAGTCACATATATGCTAATTCAAGTTCCCATACAAACTCTAAGTAGTCACAGAAACTCTAAGTACCCATAGAAACTCTAAGTATTCATAGAAACTCGAAGTACCCATAGAAACTAGCAGTACACACACAAGAAAAAATTGTACCTATGGTCTTTCGTAGAATTTTGCAGAAACCACCGGACTGCTTTTTCCACCCCCAAATCAGACTGGACTGCTTTTTCCGCCAATCGGACTGGACTCCTTTTTCCAACAACCGTAGTTCGAGTTTTTATAGTACTGTTCTAGTCAAGTCATGGACCACTATTTATACAAATGTACTTTTTTCATTACATGTTGTTTTTGTACTTGCAATTAGCTCAGGCAAGACATAGTAATAAACAATTTATCATTTATCATCAGTTACCCCAGGCAAGATGTGTTGATAAACAATGTATCATTTATTATAGTAAACTGCAAATAAATACAAATGCAGTCCAACAGAGCATAACTTATAATGCAGATGAACTTGATCATGACTGTGCTAACTTGACTAACATGACTGTTGATCATGTATCATGACCATGACTGTCCTGTGGCTTACCTGGCTGCAGGATGCTGTGGAGTGGTTCAGCAGTCATCCCCTGGTGCAGCCTGGAGGGGTGGGGTTGATTGGTACATCAACAGGGGGAGCACTGGCACTCATCATGGGCACTCTTACAAACAAGGTACGTCTTCCTGTATCCCATTTAAAGATTATTCCTGTGTCTAATGTACAGATTATTCCTGTGTCCCATGTACAGATTATCTCTATAACATTACATCTTCCTGTTTCACATGTACAGATAAATGCCATTGTGTGGCTGAACGGTTTCACTGCCATTCCCTTCTCAACCCAGTTCAACTACAAGGGTCAAATACTTCCCACCATTGGGTAAGCACAATCATAATGATTTTGTCCTCAGTATGCATTCTCCTGCAAACCCTATGAGTTGTATCCCTACAAACAATAAGAAAATTCAGTTCCTTTGTGCAACCTGACAAGATACTTTCAGTGAAAGTCCTCTGAATTGTTACAGATGTGACACGTCAAGGGTGAGATATACAGAGGAAGGCCACCTGAACGTGATGGACATGATGGATGATCCCACTCTGGAGCCAGAGAAGTGCATACAGGTGAGCAGATTTAATAACTACAGCAACAGTGAAGCTCTAGTGCCAGAGAATGCATACAGACTCT